ATGAATTTGAGTTATTAATATAAACCCACAAAATCTATAATTAAGGAAGGAATAGTCCAAAAACGTCCCTTAAAACGTGTAAGGAAATCTGATTCTGCCTGGGGTTTGCGCAACCTGTGACGGGTCGTCGTGCCTGCGACGGTCCGTCCTGCAGGTCGTCGCAGAGTTCAGAGACCCAAATTTCCGCCAAGGGTCTGTGACGGTCCGTCACACCTGTGACGGTCCGTCCTGCCATTCCGTCACAAAGTTCAGAGAGTCGATTTTTAGTACCCAATTTCAGATTTTCTAAGTGTTTTGAAACGAGACCCTGCGACGGTCCGTCGTGCCCATGACGGATCGTCGTTTGGTCCGTCGCCTCAGCCTGTTTTTCCAGAATTGAAGTTTTTTGCTCAAAACGACTAAACAGGCCGTTACACTTGTGGAGTTGATAAAAAAAATCATTCTGAGTTGATGAAAGTTGTTGGCGAGAAAGACAACAAAACTGAAAAGGTATTATTTTTCTTTTTTTTTGTTTCATTTTCATTGGCACTTATCGATTTTCTTTTTTTTTAACAGAAACATAATGTTGATCAAGATAATGGTGGATCTGCTGTTGATGCTAATGAACAGGTTAATGATATAAATATTGAAAAAGTTTGTATATGACACTTAAAAACAACATGTTATTATTTTATATGTGATTGCAAATGGTATTTTTATTCATCTTTTTCTTTTCTGCCTTTTAATTTAATAAAATTATGTATTATGTTTTGGTATTGTACAGACAGATAAAGTGGATCAACAATCTATTTCACCTAATCACATGGATTGTTCAAAGGAACAACATATGGAGGATGCCATAGAGGATATACACTCACCACAACATAGTCATGTTTTGATTGAAGAAGTTGCTCTTAATAATGAAAATGTAAGTACAAATATTATAAATCAGTATACATTAATTTTTTTGTTTGTGTCAGAATTTAGTCTAACATCATATTTATTAGGATTATACAACTGGTGAAGCCTCTCACTCAGACACAAAGATTTTAAATGCGGATGAACATGATGTTGATACACTTCAGCACAACATAGAAAAGCACACTACAAGTCTATTTCATGTTGATACATCTACAGAAGTGGAAAACACTGTCCAACCACTATGTTTGATGAGTCATGGGGAAATAATTGAGAGTGCTTTTTGGTTATCTGATAGCCAACTACCCATCCAACTACCCGTAAAGAAATCTTCACTTCCTCCTGATACAGAGACTCCAGCACCACGACACAGGATGCCTTCAAGAATTATACAGTCTCCATATTTGACAGATTTTGGATCCAACGATAAAGGCAAGGCAAAAATAGATGATTATGTTCTCCTTCTCTATCCATTTGAATTTTGTAGTATTCTTGAACAATTGCCATTAGGTATGATGGACGAGTTCTCGCAATGGATTGAAAAAGGTCTCTTAAAATCACATGCAAACAAGTAAGTTATTATAATATGTCTTGCTAATTTTGTGTTGGATAATATTATTTTAATTTGTTTCTAAAAATTATTTCTGTGTATAGGAAACAATCCGAGGACAAATACAGAGCGAAGTCTGCTTCATTTAGTGTTGATTATATTGACTTTGTTGTCGCATTCCCTATGGACAAGAACTGGTTTTAAACTATGTCACAGCCGAATTGATGTTGGACTGATGAGGTATCATATACATTATTTTGTCAAATTGTGATTTTTAGGTATCACACTAAAATTTACTATATTATATGTAGTTAATAATAAGTATCAAATACTATTACACTTTTTTGTATCATGTTGCAGATTGTTATTAATATTAAGTATCAACTTGATTATTTAAAATATATTTATCAGTTAAGGTATCGAATTAGTTCCTGCATATGTTTTCCACTTATCAAATACATTTTACTATGCATTATTTTTTCTCTTATTTTGCAGCATATAGATGAAATCTTTTACTATCTTCGCAAGAAGTCCAAACAAAGAACCATGGATCAGTATAGATATACTACAGTCAATTGCTTGTTTAAGTCTCATATAAACAAAGCATATTCAAGGTATTATAACAATCATGCAGATGATAATTCGCACACAAGAACACATGTTTTGTGCTGCTGCCATATCAGTTCATGAAAGGTCTATCATTAACATCATCGATGGTTTTTCTATTCTTGTTTCTTTACCATGGCATTTAGTAGATGAGGTTTACATTCTTGTAAACTGTGATGAAACTTTTCATTGGGTGTTGGCTGTTGTGGTTCTAAAAGAAAGGCTTATAAGGGTGTATGACTCAACTTCGGGATCAAGGAAGAGAGTTCATTTTACAGACATCAAGAAGTTGTCTCAAATCCTTTCAAACTACCTTCATGATAGTGGGTTCTTTGAAAAAAAGGAGCGAACAGATTGGGCAGCATTGGATGCATATAAAGACAAGAAAACTGGAGAATTTTTGGGTCCACAACATTCGTTTAATGTGGAGTTTGCTCAAGACAACATGCAACAAATAAGTGATAGCCTGTGAGTATTGTTTATTATTTTATTTTATTTTTTGTATCTAATTCATCCTTATAATTAATCTTATTTTTTTTGTAGTGATTGCGGATTGTTCGTAGCTGTATATTGCAGAATTTCTGGGTGACAAAATCAACATGTCATGTAATAGTTTTGAGAGTAGCTATCTTCGCAAAAGATATGCCATACTTTTATTGAAGTATGATCTCGACAAGATGAATGTTGTATATGTTAGCAACAGTGATGACCCTCCAAGAATGAAGAATGTATTAAACCCATCATATGAAGATGAAATTGTTAATGTAGGCTAGTTAGTTTTCAATGTTTGATTTTTATTTTTGTTTTTTGTTTTTTGGAGTTAAACAAGATGTTTGAAGTATTTATTAACATACAACAGATATTGTTAAATTATGAAAGTGTTTTGATTTTTAAAATTATTTATTCTATTACCTTAATTTTTTTTGTCACCGTTATGAATTCAGGAATTATGTATACTGTAGTGGGACATTAATGTCATTATTGTATCAAAACTATAATAATAATTACATTAATGTAATTATTGTCATAGAAAAACACTTATTATATATACGTAAATATATTGTATGATACAAAAAAAGAAAATTATATACGTAATTATATTTTGTATATGATAGCTGAAATATCAAAATATATAATATCACAAACAGTGATACTAGTTTTTACACTTGATACACACCAGTTTTTTTTTTAAAAAAAATTATATCTTTTGTACAAATAAGATATATTCAGTACTATGATTTATATATATTACGAACAATTATTTGCCCTTCTAAATATGAAATTTCTTTAAGTATCTACACACTTGATACTATATTACTAAATTAAATTAAATTAGAACTGAAAATAATTTGGGTGAAATATCCGCAATTAATATTGATTAAAGTAAGTTTGAATAAGGATTATAAAATGAAGTATTTAATACATAAATATAATGTCAATTTAAATAGAGTTAAACAAAAAAAAAAGAATTAGAGAATACATTGCCAAATGATCAAAGAAATTTATTGAATTAAAATCTATGTGTAACAGTGGAACCAAATGCTACACTATTACATTTATTAAAGGAACTCCTGAAACATAATCATTATGAATCTTTTGGAAAGAAAGTACATGTTCTTCTATTGTGACCTTCTTGTCCAAATCGTCCACAACAATTTGTGTTTCCGCTTAGCTTTTCATCCGCATTTTTCTTTCTTTTTTTCTTGGTCTACCAGGCATTTTTTTGTTTCTTGGTGGCAAGACAACTTCTTCCAAAACACTTTCCGAAACTGTCCAATCACTTTTGTCCGACATTGGTTCCATTGGAACTGCATAGGTGTTGGCTAATGCATCAGGTTTATAGTAATCGGAATAGTATGGGTGTACATCTTTGATATTATTCTTCTTCAAAAAAGCCATTGCATGCGCACAAGGTATTTCATCATGCTGAAATCTACCACAAGAACAATTCTTTCTATTAAGGCAAACGATGTATCTTATACCACCTTCATAAACTGAAAAAATGAATTCTGAAGATGCAACAACTTGCATTAGTTTTTAAAAAGTTACTGTTAGATTTTTTGATACAAAAAAAATCTTAAAATATTTAAGCAAGATACATAATATTTGATATATGAATAAATACGTTCATTTTCGAACATTTGGACGCGTTTATAATCAATATCTCTTCAAATTTCCTCCCTAATGTTTCCTTTGTATAAGATGTTATTTCTCTATTTTTGCAGTTCCAAGAACCAAATAGAATTCTGGCTTCTTCCAAAAAGTCCAAAACAGGTAATTGTCGTGCATCAACAAGACAACCATTGATACATTCCGCAATGTTAGATGTCATCATTCTACCCTTATTCACGGTTGCATGAGATCTAGACCACCTTTCATAGCCAGCCTCTTCAAGATACTTTTTAACTCTGCCATTTACTTTTTCCACTTTAGCCATCAATTTTTCAAAATCCTTTTTTCGATAAGCCTTAGCCATCGAATAAAACAGATCATTTAGAGTGTTTTTACTTCTCTTGTAGTATGTACAAATATTTTTCCACAAGTGCCATATGCATGCAAAATGTGGAACATTTGGATAAACTATACTAACACTCTTCATTATGCTTTCGTTTCTATCAGAAACAACACACATTTTTTCTCTCTCACCAAATGCATTTTTGAACTGTGTGAAGAACCATGTCCATGAACAATCATTTTCCGTATCGACGATCCCGTAAGCTAATGATAATATGCAACCTTAACATAGTCAACACACAATATTAATATACTTGATACATAATGTTGAAATAATGTTATAATTATCATTTTAAAAAATTATAATTATTCAGCAACATGACATACCTGCCCATCAAGAGTACTTGCGGATACAAACGTCCCTTTATAAGCTCCACTAAGATGTGAACCATCAACAGCAATAACAGGCCTACAAAACTCAAACCCTCTAATCAAAAGCCTTAAAGCAATGAATAAATACATAAATTCATTTTTTTTCGATTTGTGCATCCGTATAAAAGAATTTGGATACACCGTTTCCAACATATGTATGTATCTTGGCATATTTTTATATGCATCTGCAGGATTGCCCCTTATCAACTCTAGTGCACGTTCTTTAGCACGCCATGCTTGCTGGTAAGAAATCTCAACACCATACATTTTCCTAACATCATCAATTATATCATTTGTAGTATGTTTTCTTTTACGATTACCAATTTTGGAGCCGTAAAAGCACCAATAAATCCAACAGTAGCTTGTACTTTAGTTAATACCCTATCCCTTAATGGACATGTATGCTCATTGTTGAAGTATCTTACTTTGAATATATTAGTGTTTTTCCTAACAGACGCCTTTAATTTCCAACAAAAATTCTCCGAATAACACTCTAAAACATAGCTGCAATTATACCATATAAATTTGTTAGTTATTAGTAAAAATGCATAGTTGAAACTTTAAGATTTGATACAAAATTTTTGATAATTACAGTCAATGTATGTAAAGGTATGTAACATTTACAATAACACCTCATATTATATTCATTTCAAACAAACTATTTTAACATTCATATAAATGTCCACTGTGTTTTACCTCCTACACACGTTCACAGACACGTCAACATAATAATACAAAATAAATTAAATTGTCACAATTATAATTCCATCTTTGACTTATACAAAATAAATTTTTAATTATCCAACACAAAGTGATATACTAACCATGTAAATAATCCAAATTTTTCCAAAAATATCATTCTCTAAAGTGTGTAAAAAAAATCAACTATGAAATACTTACATAACTTTTTGTATCTGACCGTTTAACTCTAAAATTGAAGCTAGTTTTAATTTTGTATTTTATCTTTACAGCCACAAGCGTAGCTTTATCCTTGTACAATTGTTACGTCTCCACATTTGATATATTTGTATCTGATATATAATTTTCTTTCTCCATCTCGGGTATGTAACAAGAATCACCAATGTTTGATTCAACAACGTTTAGAGCATTAGCGTCTCTTTGTCCACCTTCAATACACATAATTGCACCACTGCTTGAATTAAAAATTTGTGACTCCTCTGTACTTTTATCATTTGTATCGATGCAAAGCTGATACATATTGAATCCAACCTCTTGCTTCTTTATTTCTATAAACAGCTTCACACCCATATCATTCCTAATTATCATCGGAGAAGAATTGCCTTCTACAATATATCAGATAATAATATTTTTTTTCGATTCACCAATATTTAGTTCAGTAGCAATTGCTGAGATTAGATTCATATATGAAATATTTTCCCCAACCACTATCCCATCATTTTTGTATTGTTTGTATGTAACCTCACTCTCCCATATTCCTGAATGCCTTAGCAATATCGTAATATTCATTACGAAAACCGGATATAAAATTACCTTCAAGGAAATTTTGAATATTGTTTCTGCCAAAAAAAGGGAAGATCACTAATGAAAATATCGTTTCTGCCAAAAAAAAGGGAAGATCACTAATGAAAAAATATTATTTAATTTAGAGTATTATATTGGATAAAATTGATTTTTGAAACACACAAGTTAATGTCTTTTTTATGGGATTAATAACCGTGGCATATTAAAAGTAGGAATTAATTCAAATTTCAGTTTTTAATCCCCCAAATTACTCAACAAACGGATAAAATGGAATACTATATAATGTATCCGACTGTTTTATTATGTATCAGAATCTTATTAAAAATAAGAGATTTTTTGTAAATTGAAAAAGAATAGGGATAGAAGGTAATTTATGTTTTACACTATGTGATTTACATAATTTTTACTAAAAAATATACTTTTTTTAAAAAAAAAGTTGGCCCAACTCACCCTGCGGCCCTCGTACTCGTGGATTGAGCTAACCATTTTCTAGCTCACAAAAAATCATCCAATCTGACCTGACCCGTTAAATTTGATAGCCTGTATGAATTGTCCCAAATTGGATGGACCAATTCACATTAAAAATTCTAGTATGAACCAAAGTTCTTTCCTTATTTATAATTTTTAATTATTTACTTCCAGTAGTGACATTCTCGACCTCCTCTGTAAACCAAGAAAACAATGACAATAAATTGAGTAACACTGTACTGAAAAATTAAATTATAATACTACAGAGTAAACTAAGTAAGAAAGATATATAATAAGAATATTTTTCTATGGCTATGTGATTTGTTTCCGCTAATTTCTTATGGATTTTATTACTGACTTTATTGCAATGACAAAATAGATGATAAATATTTTTAAAGTAATATAAATCTAATATATTCAAACAAGTCATTAGTATAACTCTGATTGCATGAGTTCTTTTTAAAATTATTTGTGCATGGTCCAGGTATTATACTAGTTTAACTTTTAAATATATGAGTTCATGCTTTTAAAGTATACTAGTTTTGAGACATGAGTATGAATATCTAACCATGTAGTCGCTATTTTAAAGATAATGCAACATTATTGAATAAAAAATATAAGCAAAAAATTATAAATAGAATAATAAAGTATAAGTTTCTATGAATAGTGGATCTAAACATTCTTAATAGTTATAAGTGAAAGTTGTCCAATTTATATTTGAAAGTACATATTATAATAGGATTATGTCATCAACAACCACTCAAAGTTATACATCTCTATTAAGACTTGTACCTAATGAACATGTTATTTGTTCAACAGTCATTCTGGTTAAATACAAAATGTTGACATGACAAAAAAGTTTGTTCCACCCTCTTTAAGCGCGTTAAATAGTTGTACAATTTTTTTTCTTATTTTTTAATTTTCCAACTTATACAACTAATTTTTATTAGGGAAAAAAAAAGAAAAAGAGAGTCAGTACGCCTTCTTCCCCAGCTATCTATGTCAAATATTCTCATCATCTAATTATACCACCCCTCCACCTCTATCGCTCGCTGGCTCTCTCCAATTCTTTATGATTCATTCCATTTTAATACCATTGCTAAAATGCTCGTCGATAAATATTACCAACTGATTTTAGTTTGTTGGTAAATTTACAAACCATAAATCAATTGGTAAACATCCAAAGATGTTGTTACAAAATTTTGAAATATGGCCCTGAAATTTTCGTTGATAAATTTACCAACTAATTTTTGGTTAGTATATCGTTAGTACCTTTACTAACGAATTGAAAAGGATTTAGTAATTTTTTTTATTCATTTATCAATTAATACATTGGTACTTAGTTGGTAATTTTAGTAACAAAAAAATTGTGTTGGTAATTTGCAAATAAATTTTAAATATTTTTTTTTTGATTTTCCATCCGGTGTTCGATGCCCACATTGGAGCCCGACTAAATATGGATTCATGCCGAAAAGTCCAACTTGAGATACAAAGCCAATCCTCCCTAAAAAAGATGATTATGTACCCAACGAGAATCGAACCTGAGACCACTTGATTAAGGATACAAGAGTACTTACCACTACACCACAACACTTCTTTGTAATAACTTTTAAACACGTTACTATGATTATTTCTTTTTCTCATAAATTTACTAATATATTTTTAGTTTATTGGTAATATATCATTATAGTTCAATTTTAGGTTAGTAATTGATTAACAATACGTTCAAAATAATATTAAATGCATGATTATTCAATAGTAAAATACTTATTAATTTATTTCATTTAAATTTCTACGAAAATGAATATAAATCCAAAAATATTAACCAATTTATAAATCATATTTGAATGAAAAATGTCAAAATCTATTGTAACATGTTAAATTAATCTGAATATGACATATATCATTATATCAAAAAATTTAATTTGAGCACATTTATAAAAAATATTGACCAAATCTAATTTTTGGCTAAAATTTAAAAGTTAAAACGCCTAACAACAAAAGCATAAAATGGAAGCCTCAAAACCTGAAACAATCATTTTGTTAGATATAAAAATGATCTTTCGAAGCTAATCGAGCTGACATAATTTTCATCAGAGCACATTTTACAAAAATACCAAGAAAAAACATTTTTTGTAAAAACATAAAAGTTAAATCGTCTGACGGTACGAACTGAATATAAAAAAAATAATTTATAATATCAGCCATCCTATGTGATCAAAAGTTAAAATACTTAACGACATAAACTCAAAATAAAAGTCTCAAATCCCGAACCAACCATCCTATGTGATCAAAGCTGAACTTATGTGGCTAACTGCGATGACAAATTTTAATTCGAGCACAATTACCAAAAATTTTACCAAAATGAAATTTTGGCTAAAACTTAAAAATTAAAATGCCTAATGTCATAAACTAAAAAAGGAAGCCTCAAAACTCAAACCCTCTATTTATTACATCAACAATGACTTTTCGCATCTAACTGCATTGACTAAATTCTTATATGAGCGTGTTATCAAATATATTGATTTAAGTTAAATTTTTGCCAAAATCTATATGTTTAAACATCTAACTGCGCACAGTAAAAAATGAAAGCCTCAAAACCCAAACCAACCATCCTACTAGATAAATAATGACATATGGAGTTAATTACGCTAACGAAATTCTCATCTGAGCACGTTCAAAAAAATATTAACCAAAGTCAAGTTTTTGGCCTAAACATAAAATTTAAAACACCTAATGACACAAAAAAAAATGAAAGCCTCAAAACATGAACCAACCTTCCCGTTAGATAAAAAACGTCCCTTTGAAGCTAATGACATTGACAGAGTTCTAATCTGAGCACGTTTACCGAAAAATTGAACAAAGTCAAGTTTTGGTAAAAATTTAAAAGTTAAAAAGCCTAATGACACAAACTAAATATGAAAGCCTCAATGCTAGACGCTAATTCACCAAAAAATTTAACTTTAATTGGTAAATTTACCAATTAATAAAATATAAGTTAGTAATAATAAACTACCAATAAAGTTTATCGGAGTTGGTAATAGTTACTGTTCAACTAAAGATTCATATGTAATATTACCAACTAATATTTAATATGTTGATAAATTTTACCAATGGATTAGTAATCGGTTGGTATATTACCAACTATTTTAATGATGTTAGGAATTTACTAACTACACTCTTTATTCATCGGTAAATTTCAATTAATTTGATAATAGTTGACAAGTTTACCAACAAATTACATTTCATTACTAATTTACCAACACATTTATATTTGATTTGTAAATTTAGAAACACAATCTTGTCGTTGATAAATGTTTGGTTAGTAATTCATTGCTAATATGTTAATAAATTATATAAACAATTTTTGTCATATTTACAAACTGATATATACTTCATTGGTAACATTACCAACAAAAGATGTCTATTAGTGATATTTCTGTTGGTAATCCATTGATAGAAGGTGCTAAATTTGGCGTCATTTTTTCCCAACGTATTTATCAACTAAAATACTTAGTTAGTAAGATTTATCTTGGTAATCTGTTTGAATTTCATTGTTAAGTTTTAAAATATTATTCGGTTAGAAATATGTTGTTAATTTGCTAGTAGAATACTAACCAACTTAAGTTAGTAAAATTTGTTGGCAATTTGAGGTTTTTTTTGTAGTGCCATCTTTTCGATCAAAACAATACAAATTAATTTTTACGGTAAATGTTATTATTGTTTTTCGTATAATAATGATATATGATAAGTAGTGGAAAGAAAATGAAGGCATAATGGATGTAAATTTTTGATACTATCCGAATAAAAAGGGAATAAATATTTTGCATGAATGTGCAATCATCGCACGCTACCAGAGCCGGTGAAAGAGGGAAGGCACAATGGATAAGGATTAAGAGGTGAGGGTGATAGTTTACTAATGATGGTTGCACAATGCCGCCAGCGAAAGAGGACCGGTTTCCATGGGTGGGTGAGTTTCTTTTTTAAAAAAACTTTTTAATTTTTTTAGTTAGTTAAATAGATTTAAATACTTATTTTTAAAAATTCACTTTTTAAATAAATTTTTGAAATTAAATACCACATGCCATCATTTAATTAATCAGTTTTCTATGTCATTGGCATGTCACAATGAGTGTATTACACACATCTCATATTTTTAGCTGATTGTAAAAAAATGTTCGATAGGTATTAATTTTAAGGGGTATAGGTATTCAATAGGTACAAATCTTAGTTGATATGTGTTAGCGAAATTTGAGGACAAGTTTAAGGAGTCTTGGATGACTTAAGCCTTTATAAAATTCAGATATATATAAGTTGATGTAACACCTCTCAATGTCCTTCAATTTGATATGTCTTTTTCTTTCTTTCTTTTGTGTTTCTTTTTAAAAAAATTTCTCATTATTAAATTAATTGGGATACATATAAAAAAACCAAGTCAATCTTAATAGCTCTTAATTACAACTCTAAAATAGATCTTTTCCTCCCTCCCATATAGATTATTGCTGAGTTATTGTTATTTTGTTAGAGTTTTTGTTTTTAATATAATATAAATAAATAAAGGATATTAAATATATAAGATATAATAAATTAAGTGTTTTTAGTTGTATCATTGTAGTAATTTAATATTCAAGTTGTGGACGGTTCAAATTCAAACGAACTTTGAAATCATCCAACGTCTTTTTTAAAGAAGAGAAGACTTGAAAAATTAAAAAGTTCATAGTTTAGAAATGTGATGAAATCCCTTCATTCATAGTCAACAAATGGTACTAGGAACATGTGGTACTGTGCCTTATTATTAAAATTGCATCTCTTTAGAAAAGTCACATTCCTTCGATAAGATCAAAACTCACCAAAAAGTCGCAACTCTTTAAGAAATCACAATCATTCAATGCTAATGGTGTCTGCTTTTGATATAATATAACATACAAAGTATTTAAATCGAGTGCTTTAAAGAAAAAGAAGAACAATAGAGACCTCTTAAAAATTAAAATTTAAAAATTAGAGGAAACCCTGTATTTATAACCAACAAAGGGTAGTATAAAATGTGTTTATTGTACCTTATAAAAATATCATGAACTTTTAGATAAGTCACAACCCTTCAAGAAAGTCACAACCCTTCAAGAAAGTCACAACTCATCGGAAAGTCATAACTCTTCGGAAAAGTCACATTCCTTCAATGTGAAAAGATGTCTCCTTTCAATATAATTAAATAAATAAAATAGAAACAATATTCTAAATTTTGTGTTATAAGTTAGGGTTTTAGAATAATTTAACATTTAAACTACGATATTCATGTTTTTAAAGCATTATAGATAAATATAAATATGTCTAATTTTATTTCGATATGAAAATTTTAAAAATAAATAAGACTATTAATTTTCTTGTACAAAACAAAGAATATGCAGAACGCGCAAAAATGTATTCAATTTTGCGGTCTTAATCATATCAAATGAAAAACTAGAAAAAAGAATCCCCCCACCCCACCCAATATAAACTCTATTTTAAACTGAACAGAAATAAAATTTTAATTAAATAAAGTTGAAATGGAGGAATACTTTTTAAATCTTGTTTGGAATATTCAAACAAGTTTTTTATCAAACCTTTTTTTTCTTTAATATTTTGAGACTATTCAAAGATTGAAAACCAATTGTAGTTTCCGCAACAGAAAATCATTGAACTTCTCATTATATATAAGTTGTATCATGACCTAAAATAAGACGTGAAGACACTGACCTATTCCTACCAAGACAAGTAAGCCTCAATGAAATGAAATAAAAAAAATATGGAAAGATAAATCAAGAACAGAATAAAAGTGGAAAACTTATTCTTTCTATTAACACCCCAAAACCCGATTGTCAAGCGTACAAGTCACTAATGTTAAAACACAATTTCAAAAGATAAATACGATTTCCAACGTTTTTGTTTATTAAGTAGAACAAAATGTACAGTAAAGTAACAAGAGGACCCTCTGCAATAACAAGTAGCTACCTCTCAAAATCATTGACACACCTCAAAAGAAGAAGAACTAGAAAGTGGAGATCACACTAGTCTGGGCTTGAAACCTACACAAGTACTGAAACAAGGAGGGAATATTAACAACACGGTACAAAGCAAGCAACCTAATCAATAAGGCAACCTAGATAGAAATCAAATACTTGTCTTCATCCCAACCAAATGTCCTTAAAATGTAACCTGCACATAAATTATTCAAACCTAATATTTCTACAATAAATAGTTGACAAGGCTCAATATTAATAGTTTGAAAGTCACAATTTAACCAACAACACATATCATGTAGATAAATTATGAGTGTCAAGTACATGAATCAAAATAACAAATAAGTAACTCGTTAGAATCAAAATGAATCAAAACATACAAACCACTCTCAACAGAAACATTTGCCATCAGCTTTGTGTCATATTTTTAGTCGAAACCATTTCTTATTTACTTTGTATTAAATCACTAGTCGGAACCATTTTTCATTGAATTTATGTCAAATCACTATCCGCAACCATTTCCCATCTGATTTATATCAATCAATAACAAAAATCATATTACATCACCATTATATATCAATTGCACTTGCAGGAAATGTCCTCTGCCTCACAAGCACTTTCCAAAAAATACCCCGACATCAATAATCATCACATGTCTAATCACAACGTTCAAACAATGTGGACATGTAATATCACACTAAATGAAGAGACAACAATTCATATAATTCAACTCCACATTTAAACAATCAAGACATTTCATCGGATTAATCAAAATAGGTCCATAATGAGGTTATTCACAATTTGTTGTTATCATCATGAAGCCTTTTCATTTACCTCTTATTTCTTTATTAATACTATTCAAGTGGAGCAATACAATGAAGAGATAAATTGCCTTAAATGAAATTAATTAATCACTCCACGAGTTGAGTCATTCCCTTTCGAATCACTTGTGAATCCTCAAAATCCATATACAAGCAAATATTCACATTATTTTTAAGAAACAACAATATCCATATCAATTTCCTTGGAAATAAGTCAATCAACTCAAAACCCAATTTTAAAAAGAATGTTTGAATCTGAAATTTAATATTTGAAAATAATATTCGTGGACTTAAGAACTCAATGGTGAAAATCAATTTGAAAAGGGACTCAAAATCAGTTCACAATCACTATTTTACTAATTTCTTGGGTTATTGAAGATAACACCAAATCACTCATTTCAAAAGATTAATTTGAACACATCAGTCCATAAATAATAATAAGTAATATAATATTTAAAGTCAAGAAATGTTACCTAACTATTTTAATCTTGAAAACCCCTCTTGAAATCTACTCCACCAAGTTCTCAAAGATCCAAAAAGGACAAATGGAGAAGAAACCCTGAATTTAGATCAAAACACTGTCAGGGGTCCTTCAAGAATACGTACCCAAACTTCTGACAACGAGATCTAATGCCATGTCCTTCTACGAACACTAAAGATCTACCACAAATGTGGAGTTCAATAGCTTGACCGTTGCAAATGCAGTCGAGTCTCTACCAATGGGGGCCTCAAGAAAATTACTTCACGGACAAGATAACCAGCTCCAAAAATGTGAAGGGATAGACACCAGAACCCTAAACCAACAAAATAAGCCAAACAATAAATCATCGAAAGGACCCTCATGATTCATTAGTACTAGTAAATGTTCTGGACTCAATGGAATAACAGTAACAAGAATCAAAGGTCTCCTTGACCCGACATCTTTGACAGCCACAAGAAACTAGCTCAACACCTCAAACGGCTAAAATAGACTTGGGATTTTAAAAAAATCTACCAAGACCTCACATAGGCATTAAATTGTCCCTCAAATCTAATGGAACACTTACAATTTTGAACCAAGTATATAAACCTCAAACTATGACCAAAGTCAACCCAATAGATAAATTTCTACAATTTCACAACTTAGGACCTCAAATCATCATAAAGACTCCATACTAAAATCGAGAACTCGTATAAAGTAGATTCCACATTCTGGAGCTAATAGAATTGACAAAATATTATTTCGACAACTGAAATTCAAAAAGACTCCAAACCCACTTTAAAGAAACTTAGCCTTTCAAAATCACAAACTTATTTAAATTTCTAAAATCAGGATAGGTGAAATTATATAGTTGTGAAACTTTCTAGAAATGACCAATCGGGTCATTAGATTATCCACTATTAGAAGTTATGTTCTTCCTCGAACATAAAGAAAAAGAGAGTACCCAAAGCCTCGAAAAGCTGAGGATATTTAGCACCCATTTCTGACCCCATCTCCAAATTTGCGTCACCAACTAAATGATTATTCTATTGTACCTTCACAAAGGAAATCTAATTGAAAAGCTTGTCTTTACTAAAACCTCTCATTTAAAAGTTTTTGTGATTATTTATCATTCAATTATAAAATAAAATTGAATAGTTAATATGCTCAACATTTTTTTGGTAAAACAAATTAACTTATATTAACTTCAATAAAGTGTACAAGGGATCTAGAATTCTGATATGTCGGATTCAAAGAATGAAATCTATCTATTATATCTTTAGAACTAATAATATAACTAGCATTAGTTGTATTTATTCTATCAACATTAAATAAGCTTTCATCACAAAAAAGTTATGAACTAATCACAATAACATCCTTGTTTGCGTTGGATGGAGCACCTACTATAATTCTTCATTTCGTAACCCCTCCTTGATCAGTCGCTAGGAGATCCATAACAAAAATAGGAGGTTGGTTAAATATCCATATGCTTCCACTATTCAGTGGAGTCATGAGGCAGGAGTACCCCATAAATATCATATGGTGTCTAGAAACTCGAAGGAATTCATACAAGATAGTTAGCTCTTATAACATAACAAATAGAAAAAGAAGGTTTAACAATAGTCGAAGTCCAAAACATTTTACAAAGCAAAGCTGAAGTCTAAAAACTTGTCTCGTCATAACATTTGATACAATAGAATCAAATTGGGTCTATCCCATACATAATGTTCAAAGTAGAAATAAGAAATGGAACTAAAGAATAAATTTCATCCTAGAAGCATGATGACTTACATAAGCTCAGGAATCAATCAAATTACCCACTAGCCATGAAACTCAGCACCTTAAATATCAGACCCCACATTTTGGAAATATGTTGGCATGAGTATGCATTAGTACAAACAAATTTAGCAAGTAAGATCACCATGCATAAAAAATATAAAACATGCTAACAAGGGACATTTCATTTCATGACATTCAATTGACCAAGCTAAACATGGTAAAAAAGAGTTATAAAACATAAGTCATAAATTATGGTCAATGTAAGCTAACTTCTTCTTTTAAAGATTTGAACTCATAAATGATACGCCTTGAAGTAGCCTCAGTTCATTATTATTTGTGGGGATATTAGCCTTAACCGACATATAGACCGTGTGGGCTATAAAATGATCCCCCAGTGTCTCCCACACCTAATAGGGTTGCCATACTTTCCAAGGTAAGGACACTAAACTTCTAGATTAAGTGGATTCACTATATAATCAACCTACACATAGTTAAGGGATAAGGATATTCCTATTATAAACCCAACCTCTACTGGCATGGGAGCTTCAATATCATTAGATGAATGAAATTGCGCCTATACCATACATCATGTCCAATGAGGAAATATAAGAAATGAAAACTATAATAAGGATAATTCCATCCTTGAACCATGAGTACTCACCTAGCTCAAATATAAACCAAAGTACAAGCTCTAGCCACTAGACTGAAAACCCTTTCCGCCGGACCCTATATTTGGAGAAAAATGTAGGTAAAAGTATGCGTTAGTAAAAAAATACATAAAGTATGATAAATATGCATAAAAATATTTAAAACATACTAAAAGGGAATTTTCATTTAAAGCGTGCAAATGCCAAGTTTAAACATCATACAAGAGATTATATATCATAAGTCATGAAAACATAAGTCAACATCATCTTTAAAATTGTTGCACTCATGTGAAATACTTCTTGAAGTAATTTTTGTTAATTATTCATGCTCTTTTTTTGGAATATAATCCTTAACCTATCGAATACCATGTGAGTTATAGAATGATCACCTAGTGTTACCCACACAAAAAAGGGTTGTCCTACTTGCCTAAGGTAGAACCATAGTTTGTTCTCTTAGGTGGATCCACTAGATAAATAACCTACAGGGGCACAACATTATGGGATACAAAGATATTTACTAGAAACCCCAACTTAACAGGCATAGAAGGTTTCCATTTTATGAGATATACATGGGAAGTCGGGACTGCCGTACAAGACTTCCATCTCACTTCAATATCAACTCAGTGCTAATCATAAATCCCATACTTATTAAGGCCTGATTGATTCATGTCTCATGGAAGTATGTTCTTTAAAAACAATCCAAGTTAGTTCATTAGGATAGATCATTCAATCATGCGTAAGAAAACCTTTCACCGTCCATGTCTATATGTTAGGTTATAATGCCATTCAATCATTGAATCTTCATTATGTGAGTAAAACTTTCTCATTATGTTCATTATGTGTTCATGATAATGTCTATTTAATAAACACAACAACATCATCGTAATCATTGACACTTAACCTTCAAAACATCCTTAAAGCTTTTACATATATTTCATAAAACATGCATAATCTCATAGTTTGTCATTTTAAGGTTTAAAATATACTTTCAATCATCACATCTGTAATTCAAGAATTATAAATGTATTTCATTGTAAATCATGTGATTCGTCCACTTCATGCATCAATTCATAAAATTCCTCTTTCATCAACAAATACCCACATTATAATATCACAATTGACAAATACGGTATTTCATGGGTTCTTAGGGATACGTCATAAAAACCATAAGAAACAATCAATTAATACTTATAATAACATAATTCAACCATTCGAACAAAGCTTGAGAGGATCCCATGACTTTTCCATCAAACCCTAACAAAGGGGGATTTCTAACTTTCTTTTGCAAATAAATTCTGACTCCATGGATGCAAAGTATCTATGGATGAAATCTATCATACCTTAATAACAAATCCCAAATGATAAGCTTCAATGAAATTTTTTTATCCTTATCTTGAAACTCTATGTGAAATCTTCTTCTGCTTCTTCAAGTTTTAGAGAGAGAATATTTGAGAAGAGTTCGTTTTCTTTTGAGAATTCAGAAGAATGAATTAAAATAGGGTGAATTTCGGGTAAAAGACTTATACATAAGTTGTAAAGGTGGAAAATAAAATATTATAGGAACTAATTAATTAGGAAAAAACCCAACTGCCCCTAAAAATAACTACCAACTAACCGCCAACTCACCATCAGTGGACCAAGCCAAAGGACCGTGGTCTGACCTACGGTCCATCCTAGTGAACCATGGTTCATGGTTAGAAAGGTGGATTATGGATTTTTGAACAACGGAGCCCGATCATGGACCATGGTCTCATCTATGGTCTGTAGGTTTGGTCATGGTCCTAGACCTCAACAACCTTTATAGGGTGACCCACCCATGGACTAACCGACGGTGACCTCCGTGTCTGGCACCTGTAACTCCATAAATATCTGGTTCATTTCGCTTTTACGAATACGAGGTGTTACATTTTGTCTCTTTCCCTCTTCCATAGCTCTAACCCTCACACACTTAACCCTAGTTTACGAAGTATTACATTCAATTTTAGTTCATGAGTCTTTTCCAGTTTAAATATTGATGTTGAGACTTGATTTTCCATCTTGGCTAGTTAAATATTTATCTAAAGACATTCTAAGTTTATTGCATGAGTTTATATTTTTATATTGTTTTAGTTTATTAAAGTCTTCTACTAAGAATTACGCTAGGCCAAGGGTTCACTTGGGCCAACACTGATTATCGTGTTCCAATACTACCTAGGGTATAGGCTCGAGGCGTGAAAAACTTTTATCAGATCACATAGTTCAAGAATCCTATGAAGTTTAGGAAGCCATGTTGGTAGACTTCTAGTTATTGGTATGAAGTGCGCCACATCTATAATTAGGAGTCTACAACATTTAAGAATTGTGTCACCTATTTCATACTCATTTCATATGATAGAGTTTATATCTAAGAAGTTTTTCCAATTTGTGCTTATGCATATATTTGAGATCATGCCTCAACAAAGAGCTGTTAGAGGTCGTATCGATGGGGGAACGTCGGGAAACAAGTGGTACCTAATGCACTTTAAGTGCAACCACAAAGAGAGGTCACCAATGTTGATTTCCAAGAATTCATCAGGATGTTGAGTCAAGCTGTTACTAATTAAGTTGGACAGAGAGCTAATTGACATGAACTAGTTGATACTTCTAGGACAAGTGTGTTTTTATGGATGATTCATCTAAGCTTCACTTGTTAAAGTGTCAAATGGGATCAGGAAAACATTGTGGAAGATCTTTAAAAGGTTTTTGAGATTATCCACATTGTTGATGCTAAGAGCGTGGAAATAGTTGCATACTAATTAAAGGGTGTAACTAGAATATTGTTCGATTAATATATAAATAATAGAGTTGAAGGTTCATTACATATGAGTTTAAATATGTTTGAAGAGGCCTTCATGGGCATTTATTTCCCCATGAGTTAAGAGAAGCAAAGGTATATGAATTCCTCATTCTCAAGCAGGAATCCATCTGTGTTCATGAATACAATCTGGAGTTCACCCAACTTTCAAACTATGTTCCTGAGATGGTTGAAGGCATGAGGAGCAGGATGATTTTTTTTCGCTGCTAAGTTGTCTCGTCTATCAATTCAGGAAGGTAAGTTAGCTATGATAGTAGGAGATACAGAATAATCAAGGCTGATGATCGACAAGGAACAAGTTGAGTAGGACAAGTTGAGGGACAAAGAAGAGTTCATGAAAAAGAGAGATAAAACAGAAAATAAGTACAAACTATAAAAAGGTAATGTCAACCGGTCATCTTTCCGACAGAAATAAAAGGGACATACACTGTCATTTTATGAAAAAGTGCCTATGAACAAACAAGGTAATGGAAATAGGGGCAATAGAACCTGATCTTCTTCCGCTTCTCTACCAGAAAAAACAGCATGTAGAGGGTCTACTTAAGGTTAAGGTGGATTATCAACCCAAATGTATAATATTAGTAGGTGCCAATAGCATGAGAATTGGCTAATGTTGTCACTAGTATGATCAAAGTCTTTAATTTTGATGTTTATGCTTTACTATATCCATAAGAATGTCTACCTTTTGTGACTCCTTATGTTACGATGAGTTTTGATGTTCTTCATGAGAAACTTCTTGATCGTTTCAGTGTCTTTACACCTGTTGGTGAGTCTATTCTTATATGAGAGTCTATCGTGATTGTACCATTTCCTACAATTATAAGAACACCAGTCTAATTTAGAGGAGTTAGACATTGCAGAGTTTGATGTCATTCTAAGTATGAAATGACTTTATTTGTGTTATGTCGCAGTCGATTGTAGAACTTGAGTTGTTAAGTTCAAGTTTTCTTAAAAGCCAATATTAGAGTGGAAGAGTAGTTCATTAGTGCGTAGGGGTAATTTTATTTTGTACCTTAAGGAGAGAAAGTTAGTTTCCTAGAGGTGTATCAATCACTTAGTCTGAGATAATATCTCCAGTGTTGAGACACCACCGATTCAATCAATTCCAGTTGTTAGAGATATTTTAGAAATTTTCTTAGACGATCTTTACGGAATCCCTCCGGAGAGAGGAATAGACTTCAATATAGATATTCTTCTTGATACTAGTCTTGTATCTAATTCGCCATTTAAGAATACACGACCATATTTAAAAGAGTTAACAGATACTTTCAAAGATTTACTTTTGAGAAGGGTTTTGTTCGACCAAGTGTCTCACCTTGGGGAGTTCGTGCCTTATATGTGAGAAAGAAGGATAATTCTCTTAGAATGTGTATAGATTACCGTCAATTGAACAAAGTTACTATCAAGAATTAGAATCATCTTCCGAGAATTGATGACTTATTTGATGAATTTGAAGGTTCCACTTTTCTAAGGTAGACCTCAGATCTGGCTATTATGAATTAAGAATAAGAAAAAGTGATATCCCTAAGACAGTTTTCAGGACTCGTTATGCTCATTGTGAGTTTTTGATCATGCAATTTGATTTGACTAATGCACCTTCAACGTTTGTTGACCTTATGAACATAGTATTTAAGCCTTATTTAGATATTATAGTTATGGTTTTTGCTGATAACTTTCTAATCTATCCGAGGAATTAGGAGCATCATGGTAGTCATCTTAGAATAGTTCTCCAAACTCTTAAGGACAAAGACTTGTACGCTAATTTCTCTAAGTGTAAGTTATAGATTGAGTCTGTGCATTCTTAGGTCACATTGTTTCCAGTGATGGAATTTGGGTTGATACTCGAGAAATACATGTAGTGTAAATTGACCTGGACCCACATCTTCAACTGATATTAAGAGTTTTTAGGTTGAGTGGATATTATAGAAGGTTGATTGATGGGTTCTCATCTATTTCATCCCCTATTGACTAAGTTGACTTAGAAAATATTGAACTTTCAATGGTTTGAAGCTTGTGAAAAAATCTTAAATGAATTAAAAACTAAGTTTACTACTGCTTGAGTATTAACCTTTCCAAAAGGTATGCAAGGTTTTGTTGTCTATTGTGATGCATCCATAATTTGATTGTGTGTGTAAAGTAGAATGGTCATTGATTATACCTCATTACAACTTAAAGTTCACGAGAATAATTACCCAAAACATGATCTAGAATTGGTTGCCGTGGTATTCACTTTTAAAATATGGCATCACTAACTTTATGGTGTTAATGTAGATGTGTTCATTGAATACAAGAGACTTCAGTATGTGGTTAGTTAGAAAGAACTTAATCCCAGATAGAGGAAGTGGTTAAAGTTATTTAAGTATTATGACATAAGTATTCTTTATCACAGAAGTAAGGCTATTGTGGCTGATGATGCTTTAAGAAGTTTATCGATGGGTAGTACCATCCATGTTGAGGAACAAAAGAGAGAGTTAGCAAAAGAATTGAATAGAATTGCACGATTAGGAGTTTGACTAATGGATTCCACCGAAGGAGGAGTAGTGGTGATTATTGGGTTGAATTATCATTAGTGTCAGAAGTGAAAGAGAGACATGAACCATATCTTATGTTTCTTGAAATAAAGGCAAATGTTCATAAGCAAAAAATAATGGCTTTTGAAGAAGGGGGAGATGGTGTATTGAGGTATCAAGGTAGGTTGTGCGTACCACGGGTGGATATTTTCAAGAGACAATCATGGAGGAAGCTCAAAACTCTAGATACTATATCCATCCGAGTTCCACAAAGATGTATCATGACTTATGATAAGTATATTGGGGGAATAATATACAGAAAGGTATTGCTGAGTTTGTTGATAAATTCTTAAATTGCCAACAGGTTAAGGTAGAACACCAAAGTCCTGGTGGTGTGGCTTAGTATATATAAATTCTGAAATAAAAGTAGGAGGTGATCAACATATATTTTATAACTAGTTTATTGTGGTCTCGTACATAACATGATTCCATTTTGGTGATTGTTGATCGAATGAAAAAATAAGCCTACTCTTTACTGGTAAACTACTCATTCAACTGAGGATTATGCTAAATTATATATTTTTGAGGTAGTATGACTTCATGGAGTTTTAGTTTCAATATTTTTAGATAGGCGTGCATAATTTACTTCACAATTTTGGAAGTCTTTGCAAAATGGGTTGGGCTCAAAGGTGAGCTTGAGTACTTCTTTTCAATCTGAGACAGATGGTCAAGTAGAGTACAGTATTTAGACTCCATATGATATGTTGAGGGTTTGTGTGATTGATGATTGGCATGATCACCTGCCTCTTATTGAGTTTGCTTATAATAATATTTATAAACTCTACCATTAAATGTCTCCTTATGATGCTTTTAATGGGAGAAAATACAAATTTCTTTATTCGATGGTTTGAGGTTGGTGAATCTGATTTAATAGGACCAGACTTACTTCACCAAGTTATGGAGAAATTAAAGGTTATTCAAGAGAGATTGAAGACAACAAAGAGTCGCCAAAAATCCAATATATATGTTAGTAGAAGAGACATGATGATTGGATTTACTTTAAGGTTTCATCCATGAAGGGTGTTATGATATCCTGTAAGAAGGGGAAGGTTATTTCATGTTATATTGATCC